AATATAGTAATAAGAATGTACGTGCATCTTCATCTTGTTTTTACTTATATAAGAAATATATCTTCTATTCATTAGAGAATATGTAGCATTGAGCGATACTAACATACAAACGTGATATATAAAAAAAGAATACAAGTGATGATTAAGAAAAAACCGAGTTTTGAATTGGTTGCGTATTTATCATGTTACCATTTTCTTCCTTGGCAATGGCAGCTACTTTTTTTTTACTCTACTTAATTTAGATTAATTTCCTTTCTTTCTGTTTTTTGTATTGCAACTAGATTAGTTCTGTTTTTTCTTTTCTCTAATCATTCATCTGTCTACATCTGTAAATAAATATTTCCCAAAAGACGTCAAAAATAATGGTGACGTATTTTTCTACCTGAACCGTACTTTAATTTGTCAAGTAATCACTTTACGACATTTGAATCGGCCTGAAAGAAGTGACAGGAGATTGAAGAAGAGAAAAAAATTACTCAATAAATATTCTCTCGTTCGTTCATGTAGTGGCAATCAATTTCTAATGGTTCATATATATTGTTTTTCAATAGAAGTAAAAAGAAGTTTTTAATGGTAACAACAAACAAGAAAAACGTTCAAAAATCGATCACTGGTATAATGTGTATGTATATATGTGATGATATTACTAATTATTATTAATTGTTATTATTAATCTTAACTTGATATTCGGAATGCGAGTTGATGATTTGATCAGATTATATTTAATATTTTTATTGACTCGAATTATTCTTATTGTTGGTAGGTTTTTATTTTTGTTCGATTGTAATTTAAATACATAAAAATTCAAGGTTTAGATACTACCAAGCCAACTATTCCAATTCATAGTCGTCAGATATGTTCAAAGGTTAGTCCTATGAATATTAATTCGGATCATTTCCTATCTCCAGTCATGTCGTTAAATTAATAAATATTTGTTTTTTTTTTATTTCAATACATTTCACTGGTTTATTCCTCCATATGTAAATTTTCTATTCAAGATAAAGAAGAATAAATTTTGAACTATGAATATAAGATAGTGTTTTCGATCAATGTTATATAATTACTATTAATAGTGTTTAAGTCAATATGACC